CATCATAAACCCAAATCTTACATTTTCTATAGAGAAAACTCAGTGCTCATTCCGCCACAAACACGGAGTGCAAAGCTAATTAATCACTAAAAATCCCTAATGTGCATGATAAGACAAGTATATGGATTTATAAAAGGCTTTTGGTCAATTTTCTGACCTAATACTACTTGGCTATTATTGGAAAATGCTGCTGGTTGATGAAACACTTCCCATAAAGTTTGCTGAAGGCACAAAAAGTTGAGCATTTTCTCACCAACTACTCAGACCTGATTTATGAAGTTAGGAGAGAATAAAAACGGTTCCAATTATAATCTGAATTCTGAATTTTAACTCTTTTAAATGTATGAGTTTGGATGACTGACTAAAACAGAATGTTTATTTACCTGAAATTTTGGAAAACATTCGGGAGACTTTGACCAAATCTCACCATTCTATAACGTAATGCATTAGAGTCAATGGGGAAGGTGAAATTAAAGGAACAATGTCATGTTGCCTATGCAGGACAAAGTGACAAAATCATTGCAAAAGGTCCCCAACCCACTTATACTTATCTTGCCTGCACTCCCTTGATATTCCTTCCTCCATCAAAACTGACATTGAAATAACCAGTGTCAATGTTCTGGAGCAATGGTGAAGTTTCTTCCTCATTCATGTGATTGGCTGCTTGGTCTGAGCACTGCCACTGGAAGTAATGGAGGAAGAAGAGGCAAGGATATTCTGGTAAAGTGAGTATAAGCACTTGGGGGCAGCCTTCTGCGGAGACATTGTCATTTTGCTTTGTAGGGGTGTCTCTTTAAGGTAAGGAGTTAAATCACTCTCAATGGTTACAGAAGCTCCTTTTAAGTATCCTGGAATTTTTTTGTGTAAAAAAAATGGTCCCTCATTAACCTCATTACATTATGTTTTCTTCATACGTTACAAAAAAAAAAAAAAGAAGAAAACAAGGCAAAGTGAAAAAATATATAAAATAAAAATGCATCTATAAAAAGAAAATGATCAAATACACAAAGAAAGTACAAATACAAAACATAACAGATAAAATAAACATAACTACCTTATAAAAAAACATACCCTCTAGGGACCAGTTCACACCAGAACGTGATGGGGGAAACCCTTGTTCTGTGCACATTTCCCACACCACGTTCAAAACGCACTGCAGTTGCGATTTGCAGTGGGTGTTAATAATAACTTAATGACACCCCAAATGCAGGTTGCAAACGCAGTGTATTTGCCCGTACAGAAGTACCATGCAATGCAGTTGCACGGAGTTTGCAAAAGTAGTGCAAGCAGTACTTTGAGTGCTGTGCAGTGCGATTTCAGCCCATTCAAAATTAAATGGGCTGAAAAATCGCACTGGACAGTACTGTATAGATACCACAGGAACACACAACGCGTTCCTTTGCGATTCCCAGTGTGATCTGGCTATCAAAAAGAAAAAAAAAAAGTTTATTTAGACAAATTTTCCCTAAAGAGCTAAAACTGAGAGTTTTAAATTCTGTGAAATCGCGAGTTTTACAGCCAAATCCTGTTGCCAAAATCTCTCTGCTCATCTATACTTTTTTTTTTCTTTTGCAAATACTCTTCATTGAGTTTTTTGTAAAAGTGAAGTGGTATAGAACAGAGTCTCTTAGCCATACCCAGGCTCGAGAAATAGAAAACAAGGTAAAGCCAACGACAACCTAACAAAATTAATATTAAACATAAAAAAGGAAAAAAAAAACAGACTAACATTATAAGCACTCAGGTTATGCTATAATCACATGAAATACAGTAAAGGAAGACATCTCATGGAAAGCTTCCATTAGAACAACAAAGCTCGCTCCTTAAAGTCACAGAAGAGGCTCCCGACCGTGTTACCAAAGGGACCATGATAACAGAGCAGACTCCACAGGACAACCCGACAAGATCCAAAGTTATACTGATGATTCAATGAGTAGAGGCAGTAGTGGTGGGAAAATGTAGGCATATGTCCGGAACCTTAGAAAATTTCTTGGGGCAGCCTCTAGATTCATACCTAAGTTTAGAAAGAGGTATAGCTGCAGTAACTAAATGTTTCCAGAAGCCCAGAATAGGGGCCAAAGGTGATTTCTATTTTAGAATTATAGCCTTACGGGCGTGGTATAAGAGCAGACCCAATAACGTTCTTAGCTCTTGAAGAATCTGAATACATTTTGTAAACTTATTTTGATGAGAAAAGTCCAAAATAAAAAAAGTCCTTCCAATTCTTGTGTAAAAATTCAAAATGAATTAAAAAATATAATAAAATACATGAGATTAAAAGAAACATATTAAAATACAAATAAAAATGTAGTTATGTTCTTAAGATAAAAATTGTGTGTAAGTGTATGTAGCTGTGGCTTAATAGTTGCCTAGCTTGTCATCTCGTGTAAGTGTGCGTAAAAAGTCTTTGTTCTTTTAGTATAAGCAACTTCAAGGCTCTCCATGCCCCCTCCCTCACAGAGGCTGGGTCCAGTAGTTCTACCCACATGTGAAAGGTGAGAAATTTGAGACCCTCACAGAGAAGGGGCCTCTCCATCCAACATTTGGTTACGCTGACAAATTCCATTACTGTGGGGGATGGGGATTGTAACATATATACACTATAGTCAATATATATATATATATATATATATATATACGTTTATATATCACTATATATATACTTAATCTAAAGTTCTATCTTATATTAATATCCTAATCAAGAAATACTACAGTATAAAACTTGTATTCCTAACTTATTCATGCCTAATAAACTCCTATGTACTTTCACCAGAAGTAAGTATTTGCTTCACACTATTTGGGAGGGAGAGAATTGTAGAGTGAATGCTCATGACTAATTACTACTACCAAATGTAAGCTCACCAAGAGATGTACAGACTAATCCTATTTATGCTTTCACATAGACTATAAAATATATTTATTTATTTTACTTTTCCCAGTCTTGAACAATTAGAAATATACCAACTCAATTATTATATTAAGGTCAAACACACTCACACACTCACACATATGTTAGTAATGTCCAGCCGCTGTATATATAAACAGGCTGATGGTGGAAGTGCAGGGGCAGGTTGCCGTTCATAAATGGCGCCCGCCATTTTGGTTTGTGCACGCTCCCTGGGAGCGAGCGGCACTGCGATCCGGTGCCCTGCTGTGTCCGATCGCTATATGGGACCTCTGTGTGAGGTCCCGATCATGTGATCACTGATTGACCAATCAGTGATCACATGAATAGGTGTAAGCAAGATGTCACTTCTGACATCATTGCTTACTATGTGTGAAATCTGTGAATGATCACAGAGGTCACATGGTACAAGGCTATTCACAACAGCCTTGTACCATGTGACAAGCTGTGACCAATCACAGCTCACACAGTACTTCTCAATGGCTGCAAGAATGCAGCCAGAGAGAAGGAGAAATTATTGCTTTTATAGCCTTTATGTGTGTAAAAGCAATCAGTGTAAAAAAAAATATATATTTTCATCACCCCCCCAAGTAGGGTGACACTGTACTGCTAGGGTGACAGTATGTAAAAAAAAAGATAACTGAATACATTTTGGCCAAGATTTATGAAGAAAGATTATTTATTTGCCAAGTTTTATAAGAAAAACACTTTTTTTTCCAAATTTTTGGACTTTTTCATTTATACAGCAAAAAAAAAAAAAATCCCAGTGGTGAATAATACCACAAAAATAAAGTTTTATCTGTCTCAAAAAAGTCTCCAGCTATGATATTATAATATTAATGTGTATGCAGTTCATTCACTAACTTGGTTGGCTAAGCTAATCAGCACATGCTTCATCAAAACAAACACCAGCCAAGAGCTGGCATACCTGGGATCTGTTGGGGGTGACATCTGTTATTTATTTTGCATTAACATTTAATGTAGGAGCAATATAGAATAACTTGAGGTGACTGTAGAAATAGTAATGAACATAAAGAAGTCATAGCGCATACTTTGAATGCATACATGAACACAGCATCGTACACAATTTCATATGCTGCTACTTGCAAACACCTGTTGTAATACCTGTTGTACACTTTTTTATTTGATCCACAGAATGGCATATTCTGTTCGGTGATGTTGCTTTGTTTGCCATATGCGCCTTTCACACGTTAGTCACATTGTGGTTTTTTTTTAGGAAAAATCTTAACATATGCATTATTTAATGATACAAATCTCTATACAAGGCACAGCTGAAAAATGGGATTGCAACGTTCATGTGATCTTTCAAACATGTAACACCAATGTGCCATTACGAAAGCCCAGCACTGCCTTCTGCTGAATAACTACCCAGATGGCTCCTACAACTACCAGCAGAGTGGGGAAGTGACTTTACTCTGATTCTCATTCAGCAATGGGCGTGTAATTTGTTCTTCTGTTATTTAAGTTCTCTTACAATGCAGGCTATTTACAACATACTAGTAAATCAACCTTCTGAAAACCTCTGCTACTTGCTGTGCACATACCACCTACTGGTATATTTCTAATGTTTATGCAACTAAAATGAAACAAAAAATGTTCTAATTAAATTAAACTAGAACACTATACATTCCCTTCAATACATCTTTATCAAGAACGTGCAGTGTTAAAAACCTCACATCTGTGTATAAATATTTTTGGTATGAACAGGGAAGGGGGGAGGGGCGCTATAAAATGCTCACTATTCTTCCTACACAGTGTTTGCGATTCACTGTTCTCTTTCGCAGATTAAGTTTGCTCAAACTAATTAAGAACAATAGACTATGTGGCTCACTGAGTTTAACTCAACAACTATTCAGAAGAGATGCTGACCATAGCCAATTGAAAAAGAATCTACAAAGCTATATATTATATATGTTGATTAAACTGTTAAAGTCATGTAAAAAAAAAAACAATAAAAGCTCATATAGTGTACTCCCTTCAATTATACAATAGTGTTTTGATAACACATTCTTTATTTTTGTAATATGGTTACAGCAATGTATTTTTATTGATGATGCTTTCTCCTCATTGGCAGGCAACCTTGGTTTTATGGCTGGGGATTTAACCTTCCTCGGGGGCAGGCCTTACTAGATAAATGGAACCTTATACCAGAAGGCACAGACATACTTATAACACATGGACCACCCCTGGGTATGTAATGCAATTTTTACCTAGTAAGAAATTGATAAACTGTCCATCAATGTTGTGTATAACTCTACAAGTCAGTGGTCGCAAAATAATACGTGAATGTTTGGTTTACATATTCAGGACTTATGCAGTCTTCAGTCTATCCAACATATTTTCAATACATATGTGTATATATTTGTAGTTTGGTCATGCCATGTTATACACAGTGGAATTGAGCACAAATCCACCTATTGCTTAGATCTTTTGAGGACTTTATTGACAATTTTCACTACCTGAATTTCAAATTGTACCTAAATCAGATGGTCTGTGCAAAGCCAGATGATGGTGTCACACTTCCATGATGGAAGTATTCTGTTAAATACACATTATAGGATCCAGCTGTGACTCCTTTCCCATAATCTCAGAGCTGATTAAAATTAAAGAGTGGCGGGTGATTCAACCCTGCAATATGCATGCAAAGGACCAATTTTATCCCAGTCATTGCAGAGCGTGGAGACCCAAAACAGGGAAGCCTATATTCCTTTGCAGGTCACTGAGGAAGAAGAAACCCAATCTGTCTGTGAGTGGAGGAACCTGCTGTGCAATCTCTCAGCAGTTACATAGCAAATAATTCTTTAGACCACATCACCAAACCTCACTCCAAATCTGCTAAGACTAACATTTAGAATCAGCAGTGCCTTAGATCAGCCTTTGTCAACCAGGGTGCCCAGACACCCTGGAGTGCCTTCAAACGTCTTCAGTGGTGCCTTGGCAAAATTCCTCAAAATTGCCCAAAAATGTATACAAGCTAGCAGGTGGATTAAGCCTCCCTCAAAGCCACCGGTTTTCACCACTTTTCACTTTTATAACCTTCTACCTGCTGGCGTCCTAACAACCAGTGACATCGTCACTTGACAAGGAGGACATTGGGCACCTGCACAGCATCCTTGCTTGCCCCTCTCTGTCAGCACAAGGGTCAGAAGAACTGGAAGAATAAATCACCTCTAACGTTGGGTGTCCTGCATGTGTGGATGTTGCTGCATTATGTAAAACTGTTAGAATAGTTTTTTACATTTTAGAATGAGGTGCCTCAAGATTATGCAGCAGTTTAAAGGGTGCTTTGAGATTGTCCATAATTTTAAGGGGTGCCTTGACTGAAAAAAGGTTGAGAAACGCTGCCTTAGATCTTGCACTGCAGATATATAGCTATGGCGCTGCAGGCACAGCTGTGCCTAGGCACCCTCAAATATTAGAAATTGCACTGTTATTTTTCAATAGGATCTACAGGCAAAAGGTAAATTTTTCAGAGTTTAGCTCAGGCACAAATAGTATTACGAAATGTTCCCTTTAACATTGCTGCTGTCTGCTCAGATTTTGGCAGCTGTCCTTGAAAGCGATGCTAAATTTGGAAGCGTGGCTAGAACACCAATGAGAACAGAGCTTCAGGGCAATGATGGGCATAGAAGAATTATGATTGTGCTCACTTGATATGACATATTTGAAATAGTGGCAAGCATTCCAGTGGTTAATCAACATATTGTTATCCTCCATCGTTCCAGTGTTGGTTGTGTTTGTACATTTCCAGTACTTTTCCTTTACTGTAGTGCAGGGCCGCTCTCCTCGCAGGAACAAAGTGCAACTTTGACCTAAATACACAGCTGAAACACATACACTGTGTGTTAGGAGGCATTAGGGGCTTCCTTAATTGTGGTTTCAAGAGCAAGCATGCTTCAGCAGAGAGATCCTTGATTGGGTCCCATTACCAAGTTTGGTGGGATGCAGAGGTTAGGCCTCTTTAAATAACCTCTTTAGGCCAGTGGTCTTTAAAGAGAGGCATACAAGTGCTCAATGAGAAGAAACCCACAAGAGCTGGGTGGCAGTATGACAGCCGACCTTGTAGGGTACTGATTTTGGCAGAATACAGAAGAAAGAGTTACTCCTGTCATGCAGGCTATTCATACTTCAGAGAGTGACTTTCTGCATTATTGGTCTACACATCCTCCCCTCCAAACTAGACTTGTTACCAGAGCCTGATTTCTGCATAGGCAATGTAGACTATAGCTTAGGCCAACAGGGCCTGCGTACAGCCACCTACATGTCATGTCACTGTTAATAACAGATTTTTGTGTATAATCAAATGTTTTGGGCTGGCACTCTGCCTGCCAGTGCATTTCTAATGGGTCCTTATCGTTGGTGTCCATGACAGTTTGTGCATTTTTATTGTTAGAATAGTGTTTTGCACACTAGCCGCTGCCTGCTCTGGCACTGTACACCTAGAACTGAACGTGCCAGTGGAGTAAGATGATAGCTAGTAATATCTATGTGTATTGATGTAGAGTGGATAAATTGTTCCTTTAAGTTTCTTTGCTTCCCAGTCTGATATTATGGCCAACCAGTCAATTGCAAGGGAAGGGGGCACAAGACAGCTGCCCTAGGGGTGCAGGAAAAATGAATCTGGCCTTATCTTCCATAAAAAAGTACAAGGGCTATACCGAAAATGATGAAAATCTGGGTATAACTCTTCTTTAGATTTACATATTGTGACGGGAGTGACTTTTGGGTGTCGGGGGACCTCTGTATCATCTCCCCAAATCATTATGTTTAACCCACCCTGTGCCTGTTAAGGGTTACAGGGTGTGTATGTGAATGTCTGAGTCCTGTGTATAGTGTGTTGTCCTTTGTCTAGGCCACATGGCTGTCCATTGTCTGTTTACCATGTGCTCCCCCCCATGGTGCTGTGTCTTCCTGTCCAGCGAACTATTATGGGATGTACTGTTTGTGTATTGGTGTGGGGGTTGGTCAATGTCCTTTGCCACATGGTTGCATCCCATTGTTCTGTGTCTGGTTGGATGGGGAGGGGTGATGAGGTGTTTCCTGCCTATACTGTAGCCCTTCCCACTGAGAGGGTGGGCTGATGATGTATGTCCTGTTCCTGGATGTGTTTCCCCGCCCTCTGTATAAAATATGTTGTTTGTGAAAAATAAAGAGTTGTTGGCTTCCTGTTTTAGTAAGAGCTGGGTATTGTCTATTTTCCTGAGGGATTTCGAGGGTGTGGTCCGTGGATGGTGTTCGGACAGGGAAAGTTGTGCTATAACGGAAAAACTCAGTGCGGTCTGGGTTCCGGTTCCGTTGCTGTGCTGACAGCAGAGCAGTCAGTGACGGAATGTAGTTGCAGCTGCAAAAGTTAATAATCATTCCTCACTCATGCTGTTTTACACCACCGAACTTTCGGGCTCAGGCTATTGCCATTGGCTTGCAGTGCCTCTGGAAATTGCCTTGGCTTGGGCACAGGAGAGCTGAATGCTGTGCTGTGTAGCCAGCGGGCAGTGGCTACACAGCACAGCATTCAGCTCTCCTGTGCCCAAGCCAAGGCAATTTCCAGAGGCACTGCAAGCCAATGGCAATAGCCTGAGCCCGAAAGTTCGGTGGTGTAAAACAGCATGAGTGAGGAATGATTATTAACTTTTGCAGCTGCAACTACATTCCGTCACTGACTGCTCTGCTGTGCTGCTTGCCGCTAGTGCCATGTGCGGCAAGCAGCAGAGCAGGGACCCCCCCTCCTTATCTACGTCCCTGTGCACAGGTATTACAGAGCTTTTCTCCTATAAATCATAATGGGGGGAAGGTTTGTCAGTAAGGAGTCAGGGCTGTGTTTCTCTCACTAGGTCTGCTTTAATTAAAGCAGAAGTAATGTTTCTTTTGAATATGGTTGGCACAGTGGCTTAGTGGTTAGCATGTCTGCCTTGCAGTAAATGGGTCATGGGTTTGATTCCTGACCATGGCGCCTTGGAGTTTGCATGTTCTCCCTGTGCTTCTGTGGGTTCCCTCCAGGTGCTTTGGTTTCCTCCCAGACTCCAAAGACATGCTGGTAGGTTAATTGGATCCTGTCTAAATTGGCCCTAATATGTGTATGTATGAATGTAAGTTAGGGACCTTAGATTGTACACCTCTTGAGGGTTAGGGACTGATGTGAATGTTCAATATATATGTGTAAATTGACAGCATTATAAAAGTGGCTGAAATAAATAAATAATGTAAACCCTCAGCGCAGAGGTCATTGGCTTTTCACACCTCACTAAGTGTCTTATTGCACAAGGGGTGAAGCACAGCACTACAGAGAACAATGTGTCTCCTCCTAGTCACAACCTGTGCTCTGCCATCTTATTTCATTGACAGTTGTATTTCATAAAACACGTAACAAGTAGCTATAACGAGAGCAGGGAGACAGGGAGGATTAGGGTAGGTTTAAAAAAGCTCCATTGCATGCCCAGGTATAGGCTAAGAATGATGCTTTACACCATACTGCATTTTCATGCCCATTGCATTGCATCTTTATGCACATTAGTATGCATTTTTAAGTCATGTGTTGTGAAGTGACAGGTCCCTGGAAGAATCGAAATACTAACAATAATGTATTGGCTATACCTTTTCTTGCAGTTGAGATTACATTCGTTAATGTGTATTGTGTTTTCTATGTGCCCTTGCAGTGATTTGCACTCATCAGAAAGTGCAGAAAAATACAGGTCTTTGCACATGATGTGATTAAACCCTAAAAGTAGTTCCTGTGGAGAACTTACTGTGATGGAATATTTGTTGTGCTTATTTCAGACAGGGGCACCACCTTATCACCTCCAAATAATACAGGGAAAGTCAACAGAATAGACTCTACAAAATATCAGGCCATAACCAAAAGGGTCGAGTATCTGGCTGCTCATCCCTATATGAATGCATGTACCCAAAGAAACCCCAATGGGACTTTAATGCAGCAACTGGATCATACATATATTAGAAAAGACATTTGGTTAAAAAATTTATAATAAAGTTGATAAAAATCTTTTTTAACCAAATATCTTTTCCAATATATGTATGATCCTATTTCTGCATTAAAGTCCCACTAAGGGTTCTTTGGGTACATACAAAATATCAGGCATACTTTTTTAGCTAACAACTTCAAAGTATATGCATTAAAAAATAAATACTGTGGTTTTGCTATAAACACAAAAAACAGTGCAGTGTGCTAATGT